AATATATTTATTGGGTTAATATCCATTTATACAAGAATAAATTTAAATTAACGGAAAAAAAGTCTTGACATAAGGCGGAAATTACTTAAATTAATTTCAAACACTTAATTTTCATCAAATAAACACATTTTTACATAATGTTAAGGTCTCATAATACATATAAAATGCTAATGTAATTGCAATGGGGTATTAACTATTAAATGTAATTGTAGCGGGGTATTAAATGTAATTACAGTTGGTATTGACTATTAAATGTAATTACAGTGGGGTAGTAAATATAACTACAATGGGTATTAACTATTAAATGTAATTGTAGTGGGGTATTAAATATAATTATAGTGGGTATCAAATGTAATTGCAGTGGATATTAACTATTAAATGTAATTGTAGTGAGGTAGTAAATATAATTGCAGTGGGTATTAAATGTAATTGTAGTGTGGTATAAAATGTAATTTCAGTGAGTATTAATTATTAAATGTAATTACAGTGGAGTATTAAATGTAATTGTAGTGGGTATTAAATATAACTACAGTGGGGTATTAAATGTAATTATTCATACTTATATATATATATATATATATATATATATATATATATATATATATATATGCACAGTGGGCAGAAGACCACAATGACTCAAGACTTTCAGACACAAAATGCAGAAAAGCAAGAGGTGATAGGAGAGGAGGAGATGGGATGTCGGTGCCACCACAGAGAGAGAGAGAGAGAGAAAGAGAAAGAGAGAAGAACATACCGGTGGTCGTAGTGATGAAGACAACTCCCAAGCCCTAGATCTGCGTTGGATCTACTCAAATCTGGACTCCAGGAGGTAAGTTACTGAAGCCTTATCCTTCAATTTCTGGTCTATAGTCTCTGTCTCTTCGATTTCGTTTGGTTCTTTCTCTCTCTCTTCTCTCTCTTTTTTTTTTTTGCTCGGAAGACCTAAACTTGACATGTGATTTTTGAGGTTGGAGGACCTGTGTTCTGACATTTTGCTTGGGAAATCTTTAACTTTCTCAAAATTCTTTTTTTTTCTTTTAGCCTGGAGTGAAGTTTCTGGGATTTTTGTGGTCATCGTTTCGTCGAAACTGAAATGTTTCGACCGAAATATTCCGACATAGTAACGTTTCGTCCGAAACTTTAGAATTTTGGGATTCAACTCATGTTTCGTGTCGGTGTGTCGAAATTCTGAAACGTTTCGGACGTTTCGACACGACATTTAGATCCTTGGGTGGAGCTGAAGTTTTTCCTAGGTTGGGTTGGGTCCAATAAGGATTTGAGGTCAAATGTAGATATTGGGATTCGCAGATTAGTTTTTTTTTTTTTTGGGACATTGGATTCTTGAATTGGGTAAGACAAGATTAGGCTTTTTTTTGGTTGGGCTGGTTTCAGCTGGGTTGGTTCTTGGTATGGGCTGGATTTTTTTTATAGATTGGATTAGACTCAGGGTTGGGTCCGGTTAGTTGGGTCAATATTTATAGAAAAGGGGTTGGGTCTGGTTCAAAGATAAGGTGGTTTGGGAGTAAAAAATCCACAAAGGGTCTTCTTCACAAAGGCCTGTTCCGAACCCTCACAGCGACTGTTTTGACACCTTAACTTCGGTTCAACTTCTTCTTCAAAAGTCACCTGGAGCATTCGACCAAGCAAACTATCAATCTGATGCAAGGAGAAGGTCTGATTGTCTTCTTCGTCCTCACTATTTTAAACCCTAGCTTCTCAAAGCATGTAGCAGCTGCACACAATGGTCAGCCAAAGAGCTCAGAAAGCCAATGATGTTTACTGCAAGCAGCAATGATATCAATCTGATGATGATCAATGACGACTATGATGAAGTCTCGAAGCAAACTCCAACGAAGTTTTGAAGCAACCAGTGATGGACACTCTTATGATTGTGATGAATGGTGGACTTTACAAACAGTGGGGCTTTTGGAGAGGGTCGAATAGTAACTTGTATGAACAGTAATGATATAAACAACAATTCGTGGTTTTGAGGATTTTTTTTTTTTGCACAGATCGAGTTTGGGCTCTGATTCCAAACTAATGCAGGACAAAAAAAGTAAGGAAAAAGAGAATAAAAAAAAAGAAAAGAAATAGAGAGATCAAATCCTCGTAAGGATTAAATCAAGAGACACAAATTTTTTAGTGAGAAACAATTTTATTAATATCACAATCTATAATTAAATAGTAAGAATTACATTCATATTTACAAGCTAACTCTCCTACCAAAATAAGAAGTATTTTTCTAATAAAATTCTAAGAATTTCATAACCAAACTCTTGAATTACTCTTACTCTTAAACTTTATAATAATTTCCTAATCAAACTCTAATGCTCTGTTTGGTATGATGAAAAAATGAAGATTGAAAAGTGAGAAAGATGAAAAATTGGAATCCTAATCAAACAAATACTCCCTCAAACAAATAATAAATTCCAATTATCTATACTACCAATAAATGTAGACTAATTTGAAAATTTTTTATTGTCCTATTTTGCACCCAAATCTATATCTACATCTATATCTATACCACTAATAAATGTACACTAACTGGAAAAACTTTTATTTTCCTATTTTACCCCCATTTAATACAATATAGTTTATTCAATCCTTTTCACAATCATTTTCATATTTTTCCATTGTTTAATATTTTTAAGTCCATTCTATCCTTTAACTAATAACAATTGTAAATTACTTGCTAAGCTGTTAAAATTTTGTCACTTAGCCAATACACAAAAGTAACCCTTTGGATTCTAGAAATAAATATTTGCAGGCATTCAATGTATCAACATTAATAGGTGAGTTACAATTTATATCCATATTCTTGCTATTACTCAATTTTGTCTATGGAGGAGTCAAGAAGCTTTGCCAATATCACCCAGAAATAGCCTACCTTCGGTAATTTATTATTCGTTTTTCCATTTCCTAGGTTGTAGAGGATTTCACACCTTGAACAAAGCTTGATAATAATTTTTATATTTTAGAACATTGAAATATAAAAATATTAGAAGAGTACTAAGTTTCTCACTGTGAGTTGCCCTTCCAACTCCTTGTCTATGAAATTGCTCAGGATTTTAAGGTAGATAAAAGCTTGAAATTTACAACTTATATATATTGAGCGATTGTCCAAACATTTGAGAATTTTGGGCAAATGTTATTTATGTCCAGAGGAAATTGTGACTATGCATTCATGATGTTTAAAAAGTTGATTAGTTGAGAGACTGCCAAAAATCAAAACATTTGAAAAAAAAATTTGGGTTCTAATTTTTCTGAAGGATAATCATAATCCACAAGAATCACTACTCTTAACACATTATTCATAGTGTAATCAGTGAGATGGTTGGGTGTGAGAGAACAGGGTCTGTCCAATAATGTTCTGTGGAGTCTTCTGATAAGACACAAATTGTATCATGGCAAAGTAGGGAGGCCGGAAATGGAGCAATACTAAGAAAAGTAAAAAATACAGTACCACTATGTGTTGATGCAATGTTAAATTCAGTGAGAGCTAGGTCTGATGAGCTCCTCCTCAATGAGGTTGCTGGTGTACCCTTCAGGGCGTGTTTTGAACTTTCTTATCTTTGTTTTTTCTGAAAATAAAATTATTTGCCTGCGAAAGAAATGCAAACCTTTTTTTTTCTTCTCCATCACTTTTATTTTGTGTTTCGTAGCCTGGGTGCTGTCACTATATCAACAGGATGCATAGGCAAGAATGCAGGTTTGTAACTCATGCATACACTGACAAGGTCTCATATGAGCAGCCTCAATGTTTTCTCCTGGATGAATTTCTTTTTATTTTTTTTTTTGGCTTGGCTACTTCTCCCATTAAAAAATTGCATATTTTGTTGACGTGTGCGATTTCAGTTATATTAATTTCAGCATAGCCTTCTCATATCTTCTCCTCTACCACCTTTCCAATTTTTTAACCAATCCTGACACCAGTCTTCTTTTAAAATGTTAGAATCATCTTAATTGACTTTCTTTCATTCAATCAGCCAGAGTGGCTATTATGCTTTTTTGTGCTCTCGTTTTAAGTTGTTTATGATATCTTGCCGGTGTTGACTGGTCTGCTTATTTATGCTATAACATTTTCATGTCCTGATCATCTAACACTTTGCTTGCTGATGAGAGAAGCTTTTGTTGATCTAATTCTTTCAAGGCATGGATTATAATATTAATGAAAGACAGGAACAGCTATAGCGGTAATATGCATTTGGCCGTGGGAAATCACATTGCAGAATGTAATTTCTTCAAATGAAAGGCTTAAAATGCACCTACTTGGCACCTACATAGGGAAAAATTATTCATTCAGCTGTTTGCTTTAACTTACTGAAGGGTAGAGATGCTTCTTCTCTTTTCAGGACAGGGGGCTTTCGTTTGAGCTCCTAATTATGTCATACTGCCATCAAGTTACAATAACATCAATGATCATAGCTTGAAACTACTGGTCATTTCACGTTCGTGTTTAGGATTACTAAAGGACATGCAAGGGTGCTGCATTATCAGCTGGTGAATGGGTTAGAGCTTTACCAAAATATAAGTGTTGGGATCTATTCTTTAAGGCATACGAAAACACGGATGCTAATTGCATTAATCCACCCTTTCAATGTTTTCAACAGATTCCATTCACATTGGTTCCTTTGATGCTTCAGTTGCCGCTCAAATACATAAACATCAAAGCAGATACCCTAAAAGGTTCACGTGCAACGCTCTTCTGCACCTACTAGTTCAATTTAAACTTATCCAATGCCTTTTCAATCTCTACAAAGAAACCAGTTGTTTAGATTATGTCTTGCATACATTGGCCTCTACAATTCTTATCCTGGGCTCCTATGTTCGTCCACCGGCTCTTTCCTTTGATCATATTCACTCATCATCAACCATAATCCAAAAATGTAACCTGCTTTTCGTAATTGGCTCAAGTTGCAGTTTTATGGTTCACTATCCCACACCATATAATTCACAATAGTTCCCTGCAATTCCCATTTCAACGATGTAAAAATTCTTCATCAACTTATTTTAACTGCTGCTTCATACTTTGGAGTTTGGAGTCCTGAATTGTGAGCAGCATCAATGTCAAGGACATATGCATTGAAAAGCTCATACTCCCAAGTTACCACAACAGTTAAGATTGGAAAAAAGACTGTCCAAGGTTCAATCTTTGTTGTTCAAGACATAAATTATCACCAAGAGAGAAGAAAGTAATGAAGTCGGGATACATTGTAAGCTAAAAGAGGAACTGATGCTGATGCTTTGGTAAATGAACTTACTTGATTCATGCCAAGGTACTCTGACATTCGCAGCGCTATATGGTGTTGATGGGCATTAATTAAACGACCAATCAGAACTGATGGTGTAAGCAACTGAGAGGAAAATATTTTTTTAACAGAAATAGCACAAAAGTTGAATAACATGGCTAAAAATTAAAGTTGACACACGTGATGGACCTTGTATTGCTGAATACTGAGAGGAATGCCAATCTCCTGGTTGCGTACAGCATTTAAGACTCGTAACGTTTTACACATCTCTTGTATGCGATCACGTTGAAAATGACTGCAAAAGCCAACTAAATATCATTATCAAGAGAAAAATCAGAAAAACCCTAATGGTCATTGAAAAACATGATTGCTATAAATGTGGAAAACTGATAAGACAACAGATGTACAGAAAAATGAAGTCCCTGTCACAAAAGGAAGCAATTTTGCACCAAAATGAATTTGAGGTTCCATCACTTCGGGCAAACTAAAACAAGAATGATCATTTACCTTTACAGAGTAAGACTAAGAAGCTGAAGATGGTGTTCAAGCAGCCAACCAGAACATAAAGCCATGGGCAATGAAATTTTGAAACTTGGGTCTCCCTTCCCGTACTATTTTGTGAACGACACTTGGCAAATGCCAAAATCAAAAAGCAGATTTTGCCTGTCCTTGATATTTAAACTCGATAACATCAGGCACAAACCAAAAGAAATTTCAAAATGCAAAGGCCAGTTTTGGGAAACATCAATACTTTTAACAAGAAGTTGATTTAAACTCAGACCAATGTTAGGCATGGGGATTCACCAAAAAACACTACAAAACAAGAACCTCCCACTCACTTATTGGATTGAAAAAAATACTAATATGAAAACATTATTGTACTTTTTAAAGGCAAGTAAACCATCACTAAAAGCGTCAAAGGGTGAGTTGAAAGAGAAAAAGTAATATTAGAGTTAGAGAAATCAAGAGAAAAAGGAGAAAGATAGAAGAAGAGATAGGACATAGTAATCAGTTGTGTGTAGGTTAGGTTGTTCTACACTCCCTTAATTATAACCAAGTAATATTTAGGTAATTAAACTATTACCCTACACTAATTAACTTAATGTCTAATGGAGAAATAAGAATTCTCACACTCCTCAAACTGGAGCATTTAGTTCAAAAATGTCCAACTTAGAACATAAACTACTGAAGGCAAACCGAACAAAGGCTTAGCAAGAATGTGACCCAGTTAATCACTAGACTTGATATATGGGGTGATGATCTCCTTTCGCATATGTGTTTGGTACACTCGTGAAATATTGGATTGCTTGCAATGAAAATAGTTGCTTGGTTGTCACGATACTCTTTATAGGGGAATACACGTCAAGTCCCATTTCACGAAGTAAAGAAAAGACCCATAACATTTCACAAGCAGTATGAGTCATACCACGATCTCAGCCTCTACACTAGAATGGACAACCATGTGATGTTTCTTACTACACCAAGTAACAAAGTTACCATCAACAAATGTACAATAACCAGAAGTAGATCGCCTATCACCATGACTACCTACCCAATCAGCATCATAATAACCAATAACAGTTATGGATGATGAAGGATAATATAATAATCCTTTTCCTGGAGTCCTTTTCAGATACCGAAAAATATGGCAGACAACCTCCCAATGAGGCTTACGAGGAGCATGCATGAACTGATTTGGTGGTTGAACCATATACACCTCCTCTTGTAGATCTCCATGTAAAAAACATTCTTTATGTCCAGTTGATACAAGGGCCAATTAGAACTAACCGCAACTGAAATAAGAACTCTAACAGAGTTAAGACAAGGGAGAGGGAAAAAAGTCTCAAAGTAATCTACTACATATTTTTAGGTGTAGCCTTTAGCAATCACAAAACCATCACGAGGATATTTTACAATGTAGACCTAACGATAACTAACAAGCTGCTTATCAGATAGAAGAAAAGAAAGATCCCCAATATGATTGTCATGAAGTGTCTAAATTTTCTCATCCATAGTCAGTTTTCATCCAAAAGATGTTAATGCATGTTTCAAAGAGCTAGGACCAAATACAAAAGACAAGGCTATTAAAAAACAATAAAAGGGAGAGGAAAGTTGATGCAAAGAGATAAAATTAGAAATGAGATGTTAAGTACAAGTACCTTTCCATAATGCAATATGCAAATCAGAAGAAAATGATACATTAGACAGCCCACGATGAGGGACCTTAGTAGAATCAAGCATTGGCAGGGGAGCTAAAACATATGGAACAACATATTTGTTCGTGGAACAACGGTAAACCTGGAAGTGAGGGTCAAGAGTCAAAGTGGGATAAGATACACAATAGAGTAAAAGAGGCAATATGAGCCCCCCTTGACTAGTATAAATTAAATCTGGGAAAAGAGTAATTATTGAGGCAGAGAAAAAAAGGAAAATAACTTAAAAAATGTAACATCGACACTGACATAGTATCGACGAGAGATAGGATTATAACGAGTATGAGAGTATCCCGAAATAACATACTTAACTGCGCGGGATGAAAGCTTATACTGACTTAGACCAAAAAGGTGAACAAATGCAATATAACCAAAGACACGAGGACTTAGGCCGAAGGGTGATGTATCAAGATAGAGCAATGAAAATAGAGACTTGTTACTTAAGATATTGAAAGGCAATAGATTAATAAGATAAACCACAGTGACAACAGCGGCTGCCCAATAAAGCTTGGGAAAATGCATGTTAAACATGAGTGTACGAGCAACATGTAATAACTGACAACATTTGCATTCTACAACACCATTTTATTAGGATGTATTTGGACATGTAGTTTGATGAATGATACCATAATCTGTACAAAATGTACGCATAAAGGATTGTGCATACTCAAGGACATTATTAGAACGGAATATCTTATTACATTTATCAAATTATACAAGAATTTCATTGTAAAAGTAAGAAAAATATTAAACAATTTAGAACGATCCTTCATAAGAAACAACCAAGTCATTCGAGAATAATCATCAACAAAAATTATAAAACAATGAAATCCAGACATACGTTTTATCCTTTAAGAATCCCAAATGTCAGAATGAACAATAGCAAAAGGACTAGACTAACAACTCATATTACTAGAAAGAAAAGAACTATCCTTGCCTAATTGACAAGTCTTACATTCGAACACAACAGAAAGACTCAAACTAGAGATGACTTGATGAAGCCTTTATAGAGAAGGATGACCCAATCGAAAATACCACTAAAGGAGAGACACGATAGCAATCTAGGCAGAAATCCAGATAATAAAGTCTATTCTGCTAATGCCCCAACTCAATCACCTTCTTCGTCTAGAGGTCTTGAAAAACACAAAAAAAGGGAGAAAATCTCATTAAACACCGTAAAGACTTGGTTAATTGACTCATAAATAACAAGTTCAATAAAAACTAAGGGACAAATAAACTAGATGGTAACGACATTGATTTAGCTCACTAGTCCCATGTACTGGTCTAAAGAAGCTACTAGCTAACACAATACAAAAGTTAAAAAACAAGGACATACCGGATATATGGGTACTAGCTCCCGAATCAATAATTCAAGATGGTAAAACTAATTGAGTTGTCACATATGTAAAATTACTTGCAGTGGCCAAACCTGCAACTAAAGTAGACACATGAGGAAAGAGGAAAGATAACCACCGGATGAACTAACTAAGCTGATAAGTAAGATCATCATGAGATTCAGATGTAGATCCAACAGTCAATGACTGAGAGACGGGAAGGATCAAGTTATTAGAAACCTGATTAGCATGGGCTGGTCTACCATGTTTTTATCTTAGCAATAATCCTTAGTATGTCCAACAGCTCCACAATAAAAATATTTTCACAAAGAGCGATTTTCATGACCACTACGTCCTCCATAACCAAGATCTCTACTACCATAATGCCCACTCGGGGCCACAACCACCACGACTACGGGCACTAGAGAATAAAACAGAGGACTCTTTTGAAGATGAAAGAGCCCCTCGAGTCAGAGAAGCTCGCTGAAGGCGAGAATAAGCATTGGCAGCAATCGAGAGTGTCTCACTTGCCAAAATCTGATCTTTAAACACACCATACTCAAAGTTAAGACGTGACAAAAACAAAGTAACTTAAAATTCTTCAGGGTGTCACCCCTGAACCTCCAAATCTATACTCAGTGACACAATATAAGTCCCTCCCACAACCCTTTCAAAGCACTATAATGTTTAGATAGGGATTTTTTTCCTTGTTTGGTAGTAAACATATGCTCAAAGAGTTCCTAAATCCGGAATACGTTGTATTCCTTTGAGTACATCTCCTCAAGAAAATCTCATATCTTCTTAGATGTATCAAAAAGTTGTACATTAGAAGCTATAACAGGTTCCATGCTAAACCACAACCATGTCATCACTAATGAATTCTCACTCCTCCAATCTTCAGAATTTTTAGAGCCCTCATGAGGACTCTTAGTCATATACTTAACTTTCTTTTTTACACGAAGAAAAACTTTGATGCATGGGACCAAGAGTAATAATTAGTCCCATTTAATTTGACAGAAGTAATCTATCGAACTTGATCATCCACCGAATTAACCTATTTGACCCGATCATCCACTGAAGTATCCTTCAGATCATTTGAGGTCACCATAAAGATACCCACAATTAGTTAAACACTAGTTGAGAATACAACAAACAGATAATCCACAAACAACCACAACCTCAATCAACCATAACCATAATCGTACCAAAGGAACCAAAAAAAATACAAAACAAAGACCAATGAAACAGATGAAACAAATCTTGCCCAAAAACACTAGGAGTATAGTACCCACTTCTCATATCTGGTCAAAACACACTCAGGAGTCAGAAACACACACCCAGGGGCCAAAAGAACCAACTATCGAAGTCGGAACAGTGCCCAATCTCCCTGCTGATAGCCTATAGGAGCAAAAGACACCAAAAAAAACCAAGAACAGAATACCCACTGCCCAAATCTAGTCAATATACACTCAAAAGTCACAAAAACACACCCAAGAGCCAGAAGAACCAACTGCCAAAGTCAAAACAATGCCTATTCTCATTGTTGACAGCCTATGGGAGCAAAAGACACTAGAAAACATCACAAAACAACTGGTGTTATCAAACCCACTCTCCAGACTCTTAGTCGCACACCTCAGATATGGTTTGAAGCATAAAAAACTCTCACAAAGGCCGGAATTGACATATTGCAAAATAAGGACTTTTTTTAAACGAAAACAAT